TTTTCACCAATTTTGTATACAATATGGGCAAATATCAGCTACTTAGGATATCCATGCCATATCCCTAGCCTCAGGGGCTTCTGAAAATCCATAGTTATATTTCCTCCCTATAGTTACTAAAATTAAATATTCAAATCCTATTTATTGAAGATATATAACAACTTTAGAAACATTTATTTAGCCAATGTAACTTTTCTACATTCCTCATGTGTTTTTTGTTTTGTTTTGTTTTTTAATGAAGATTCTCTCTTACTTGTGGGTTAGAAAATATAGCAACAGATTTGGGATGTTTAGAATTGCATCTGTGTGGGGGACAAATGGTGATATAGTAATTGTGTAGTAATATGACCAAAACTACTTCATCAATATGTATTGTGGAGATGACATTCTTATGTTATACAAATTGGATGTGTCAGGATTTTAAATGTCACCTTTGGATTTAATGCAAGAAGTTCCTGACTGGCATTTTCTTGAGTTTCCTTAGAAGTGACCCTGGAGCCAAGAAACTTACTTTTAATTCCTTGCTGCCAAAGAGTGAGATTTCTATCCTTCCCTCTCTTATGCCCTCCCAACTCCCACCAACTCCTGTTACTCTGAACTTCCACCATCTCTGGACGTCAGAACACACAGCAGCAGTAAGTGGAGGACGGCATGGGGTGCCCTTCATTCGCTAAGTGGAGGGCTAGAAACAAGAAAAGAGGATTATCTGTGTATCTTCCATGCAACTACCTTTTTGTTGTTAATTTTTAAAACATATCCTGCATTGCTCTAAAGCACATTGGTCAAGTAGAATAAATGGTTGAAGAAGTCAAGGTTAAAAGAATATACAGGCCAATGTATTTTTGAGTGGTTGTTTGCGGCAGCAGTCTGCGGTGTTTACCTATGCCGCCATCTTGCTGGGTTTCCTGTGTCAGGATTTTAAATGTCACCTTTGGATTTAATGCAAGAAGTTCCTGACTGGCATTTTCTTGAGTTTCCTTAGAAGTGACCCTGGAGCCAAGAAACTTACTTTTAATTCCTTGCTGCCAAAGAGTGAGATTTCTATCCTTCCCTCTCTTATGCCCTCCCAACTCCCACCAACTCCTGTTACTCTGAACTTCCACCATCTCTGGACGTCAGAACACACAGCAGCAGTAAGTGGAGGACGGCATGGGGTGCCCTTCATTCGCTAAGTGGAGGGCTAGAAACAAGAAAAGAGGATTATCTGTGTATCTTCCATGCAACTACCTTTTTGTTGTTAATTTTTAAAACATATCCTGCATTGCTCTAAAGCACATTGGTCAAGTAGAATAAATGGTTGAAGAAGTCAAGGTTAAAAGAATATACAGGCCAATGTGGCTCAGATGGTTGGGCATTGTCCTGTGCACCGGGGGTTGACAGTTCAGTTCCCAGTCAGGGCACATGCCCAGGTTGAGGATTCAATCCCTGGTAGGGGCTGTGCAAGAGGCAGCCAATCAATGTTTTGCTCTCACATCAATGTCTCTCTCTCTCTCTCTCAATGAAAAAAAATATATATTTTAAAGAATAAATGGAAAGGAAACGGTAAAACAAAGGAATGAAAAAAAAAATACTTTAAAGAATAAATGGAAAGGAAACGGTAAAACAAAGGCAAGATGAGTGTGATAGATGCATACCTTAATGCCTGTGCAGTTGACAGATGTAGGTTACAGATTTGGCTCTTCAGTTCCTAGGAGTGAAAATGAAAAGGAAGACATGGTCAATGACAGATTTGAAATATCTGTAAGATAAAGACCCAAGTTTTTCTAATACTGAAACCTAAAACGAGTTTCTTCTGAGGAAGCAAAAAGGGTAATGTAAAGGACAATGACTTCACCTGCACCCTATGAAAGAAATAGTGAGACTCATATGGTTATTGGT